TGAGGACCCCTGCTTTAAGTTCTAGTGCTACTTAAACTTATGAATGTTGCTTCATTAATATGACCCCCCTGTGTCTCAGACTTTCGGAAATTGAGAAATCATTTTAAATAATTGATAACCAACTCAAGCATCAGCAAACATTTAGAAAGGACGATAAGTTAATAACTTTTTATTTAATAACTTTCAAATAAATGTCAGGTAAACACTGATTTGTGATTACCAAAATAACCAAAACGCAATGAAATCTATTGCTAATACACTTATAAGATATTAAGATATTGAGAAAGTGACTTAATTTTGAAAAGCAAGCAAACAATTTTCTATTCCAGAAGTGGTGTTTTCTATTAAGATTTATTTATTCTCTTTTATTTAAAAAGCATTTATTGAACATTTACTGAATTAAAGAAGATTTCTGGGTTTGGAAGTCAAGGATGAGGATGTGTTGGTCCTGTCCCCGAAGTAGTCACCTTTGAGTGAGAAAAACACAAACCTGTACAACTAATGGTAATGCCCATTAGGATCTCATAAATTCTGTAGGCACCAGTGGGTATGCCTGCAGTTTCCAACACGGGCTATCTCTCTGTGTCTATATTCCCTCGTTAAAACCCTGACTCATCTGTTCACTGCAGCAGAGGTCCAAAAATAGCACTTTCCACAAAACTTTTTAATTCATATGAAATTTAACAGCTCCGTACTTTTTTGTTCAACTGAGAAAAGAAGGCTTACCTATTTCTCAAGAGGATCAAGAGTTTTTGCAGTTTCAACTCCCTGTAGGTCTATATTTTTGTAAAGGATTCATACCAGTGCAAACTAAACATTGTTCTTTTATTGTCTAACACTTCAAAGACAGATTTCTCCCCAGAATATAATAAGAAACTGCTTGCTTGCAAAAGTTGCTTGATGGGATTGTAAAATAAACAAAAAAAAAAACAAATAAGAGCAGTTTAAAAACTTAATCCTATTTTCTTCAAATAATTCAATTAAGAAATAAGGCTAATACTATTACAGATAATATACATATTTTCTGTTGATAAATAACTATGTAGGCAAGTTTATTTTTCTGTGATTTCTTATTGATAACAGTGAAAATTGTAAATATAACATATTTTTAAAAAGCCACAGATTAAGATCCTAGAGGTCTGAGATCGGGATATACTTGATCACTGAATCACTAATTGTTGACAAATTACTTTAGATCTTTGTATAGTCTCTATGGCAAGAAATTGGGAGCAACCTAACCCTGCTGGTGATTACATGAAACACCACAGCACAAGAATCCATGAGATGTCTCATGAAACCCAGAAGCTTCCAAACAACACATTTTGAAAGCAAATGCCAACATATTATTTTGTCTCTGAAAACAGTGCTACAGGAGAGAGAAAAATAATAAATGTTATTAATAAATAAAAATTCTACATGCAAAGTAAATGAGATATGGAGTCCCAATAGAAAGTTTCTGCTTGCTATAATATTTTTAAATTTGGGGAAGTTACAGACTATGCATTATATTTTCTAGCCACTGAAAGCTCCTAGAAAGCAAAAAGTTCAGTCATTAGAAAGGTCACGCTTCACTTCTCTTTATTTCTTTGCTTTAAAAGAGATCTTGTTAGAACTACGTTCTGTATCTTTACTCAAATATTGGGAGCTAATTTGAAAATAAATTCAACTTATACAAACACTTTTTGGACTAAAAAAATAGCTGATGTTTTTAATTTTTTAATAATAATTTTTAAGATCAGCAGTGTGTGTTTTTTGTTTTTGTTTGTTTGCGGGGTTTTTTAATCCTCACCCAAGGATATTTTCCCATTGATTTTTGTTTTAGAGAGAGTGGAAGAGAGAGGGAAAGACAGAGAGAAATATCGGTGTGAGGAAAACACATCGATTGATTGCCTCCTGCACTAGCCCCAACCAAAGCCCCAGGCCAGGGAGGAGTTATCTGCAACCGAGTTACCTGCCCTTGACCAGAATCAAACCCAGGATCCTTCAGTTCACAGGCTGATGCTGTATCCATTGAGCCAAACCAGGTAGGGCTAAGTTCAGTTTTAATCTTGAACTATGTAAAATATGAACTTAGTTTTTTTATTTGTTGTTTATTTTTTAAGTGTTAATGTCCATAGTAAATGGCTAGGATCACAGTCATAAAACTTAAAGTGATAGGGCTCAGAAATTCATTCATTTCCACCAGAGAACTACCACAGTTGCAACTGATTACATAAACATGTATCATGTATTCATTCATTAGGTACATATTTGGTAAAAGCCTGCCCTAGGCCACATATTATTGTTAGTCCTACAGGGCAGCAGTGTGCAAATGAGACAAAATTCCAACAATGTGCTGGTAAATGTTCAACATTTCAGGGGTGTTGGAGGCGGCAAGAGGACTTATTTGTAGCAATTGCTTATTTACATTATGCAATACTCCTTCCGTGACAGATTTTAATCTACCAACCTCTCATCATTGAACTTAGAGTTGGGAAGAGATGTGTAGAACCATCACTTGGGAGCCCATGTAAGCTGGTTCCGACACACCACTGAAAAAATCCTGCCCAAGTAAGAAAATGTACTCTAGTGGTGAGAGAAAAGCAACATACCTGTCACATGGATAGTATATCAGATACCGAAAAGTGTGTGGCAGAAAAAAAGAAAGGCAAGGAAGTTGAGGAGGCAGTGTGAGATAAGAAGAGGCAATTTTAAATAGGATAGTCAGGAAAATCTCCCTTTAAAAATGGCATTTTAACAAAGCCCTGAAGTTGTGAAGGAGTGGGCCAAGTGGATAATAAAGGAAGAACACTTCAGGGAGGGGTTTCTACTGGCTGGTAAAGGCTTGGGTATTTATTATAAGAATTTTGGTTTTTATCACAAGTAAGATGGGAAAACATTGAAAGGTTTTTGTTTTGTTTTGCTTTGTTTTTAGCCAAGGCATGACATGATCTCACTTATATTTTTCAAATGTCACTCTTGGTGATGTTTCCAGAGTAAACATTTGGGGGTGAGCTAAGTTGGAAGCTCTTGCAATAATCCA